CGTCAACGAAAGTACTGTATATTGGTAAATATTCAATTCAATTACGCGCATATTAAAATGACCGCGTTCGTTATGAAAAGGCATCCGTGAAGTGAATAATCAAGACAAAAACTAAAAAAAAAAAAATATTTAACTTGCATGTTGCCTGCAGTGGAATTCGAACCCTGACCATCTCTGGATATCAACAAATTGTGGCATGCTACACTCAGGCATATAAATTTGCTTTCAAATGTTGAATATCCATTAACACCACAGCACGCGATTTTTACGGATAAACATGTACATATGTACTATGTATGTATGTGTGTGTTGTCACCGCTCTCAGAGCGGCGCTCTGCATGCTTGGGGTGCGTGTGTACACTAACATATACATACTCAGATGTGAACAGTCAAATACGTGCGTAATAAATTTTGTATGAAAATATAATTTTTAAATCAAATATAAAGTATTCATTTTTACTATGCATTATTTCCCTCAGTGTAAAAAGGAGTAAATGAGATTTTTGCAAAAGGGAAATGGGCGTCGCACCGCCCACTTATGACAACGTATGTGTGACTGATTTATCAATACTAGTATCACCCAGTTGTCGGAATTCGACATCTTTTTCATACACTTTTGAATATTGCTTATCGCCAATATTGACTCCTTTATGCGAATTACGATATTGAAGTCCTCCACCAAACTTTATAGTGAATTTATATGCATACCTACATATATATATATTAAAGGGCTGCAAGAATCAACTCATGAATTAACTCGAGTCTAGCGCCACTGTTAAGTTGAAACTAGTTGAATGCAGATACTAAGAAAATATGTTAGTTCTTGTCTTTCACTAGCGGGTAAACTCGTTAATTCATCACATAAACAAACGAAACTGACACTCACACCACCAACCAATGCTTAACGATCGTTTCAACTCAATAGCGACGCTAGACTCGAGTTATGGGATGAATTCATGAGTTAGCTCTTGCAACCCTGTAATACATATGTAAGAATTTGTATGTATAGATGTGATGCCTAACTGTTCCTCAGCGACAGTTTTTCGGTTATATTGCCCAGATAGCCTCTTAGAAGGTTAAAAACTCAACACAAATCTGACCATAATATATCTAAATAGGATTTTTAGGGATAGCTCTCAATTCCTGCGCCAGCTAACGGAAGACAAACACACTGATCCTTAAAAAATTATTTGTACATAATAAAAAATCATTCAAAGCGATTTAGAAATCTGGGAGAAAACGGTTCCTAGTTGAAGATTCTGGCCATTTTATATGTATCTATATAGATGTAGGTGTATCAAATTCCACTACCTTATCTTTAGTGGTTTCTGAGATAAACCACATGTAAATTGCATTTTGTATGGGAGATGCCACATCCCCCTTTCCAATACATACCGCTTTTCGCCAAAAGTATGTTAGTGATTACATATATACCTGTGTCAAATTTCAGGACGTTAACATAAGTGGTTCCAGAGATACGAGATATTAGAAATTCGATTTGTATGGGAGATGCCACGCCCCATTTTCTATTATCTACCACTTTTCGTCATAAGTATGATATTGATAACATTTGTGGCTTTGTCAGATTTCAGGACGTTAGCATAAGCGGTTCCAGAGATAAGCGATATGAGAATTTCAGTTTGTATGCCGTAAGTACGGTATTGAAACATATCGTCGTTTAAAGTGCAAAACCGCGTATCAGCAAAATGCAAAACCGCGCATGTGAAGTTGTAGAAATTATTTTCTAGAGCGTAAAAACACTCATATTTCAAAATGGTTATCTTTTCTATAAAGCAATCGCATATCTGCCTAGTATATTTCAGGACGAATGGATAAGGATTGAGCCAAGAGCTTGTGTGAGCAAATCCAATTTTTGGCAGCCAATGAGAGTTACGCGGTTTTGCAGAATCACGATACGCGGTTATGTACTTTAAACGACGATATGTACGTATGTATGTTGTTGTGTCCAACTTTGAGGACGTAAGCATAACCGATTTCAGAAATAAGCGATATGAGAATTTCAGTTTGCATGGGCGGTGACACGCCCCCTTTTCCAATACCTACCACTTTTCGCCATACGTACGATATTGATAGCATAAATAGCTGTGTAAAATTGCAGGACGTTTGCATAAGCGGTTTCAGAGATAAACGATATGAGAATTTGATTTTTTATGGGAGGTGGCACGCCCCCTTCTTCAATACCTACCATTTTTCGCCGTAAGAAGGGTATTTATAATTTATGCATCATTGCTAAGTTTCACTTCCCCAACATAATTGGGTTTAGAGATATATCGGTTTTCACATATTAGTCAGTATGTCAGATGCCACGCCCCCTATGAATAGGGACGCTACATACTGTGTACAAACTACATAAGTAAGTATATCAGGGCGAATTTACCCTTGAAGCGATATGCCATGTATTGGCGAAATTCAAGACCGAAGTTACAAAACTCGCATAACTATCCTTACTTAGCGGAATCATTTGATCAACTTCTTATCAGATGTTTGGGGAGTTTAGTACAACTATCTGCACAGACAATCCTAAATTTCAGAACAATCTCAATGGATCAACTTCGTTGTGTGGTATAAAATTCAGAGTACTTCGTCGCCATCGGTAATATCACCATTCATTAACGAAAGCACAGCGTCATATAACTGCATATTCCTACTAGGGAATAAAGTGAGAGCTTGTTAAAGCCACAAGCAAAACGGAGACTGTGCACGCGGATGAGCTGGAAACATTTATGTAGTTTCCTTTATCCACGGCGTCAATGTGAGTACCTACAACAGACAAAAAGAAAAACGGCAAACAACAGGACAAAGCGACTAGTAACTTTCAACAGAAGCTGTTGGGCACAGTATATACAGTAATAAACCTTTCCGCAGTTTTTCACCATTTGGTCCCCGAGGAGTACTTTTGGGTTGTGTGCAGCGTGTTCGTTTTTCGCGCACGGCAACACTTACTTTGGGGAATTTCGCCTCACGAAAAAGTACATTTCGAGGATAAAATATACACAATTATGTGTTATTTATGAACAAAATGTAGGTTAAGTATAATATTCATCTTTAATGTATGCTGATATTCATGCGTAATGAAGAATAATATCAATAGTTAAGTACATAAATAATGCTTGTGTTTTATAAACTGGAAACTCAAATCGTAATTATAGCATTGAATGGAGTTTTCTTAAATGTAAGCTTAAAATAAAAAAAGTCCATTGTAAGATTAAATTATTTATGAAAACCGTAAATTTTGTGAATTTATCAAGCCAAATTCTAAATTTCCGAATATATTTAAGTCTTTATTTAAAAAAAAAAAAACAAGGTTTGTATAGCTATACAAATCCCAATGACTGCCAGCACATCCGCCCAGACAGTCCATTAAGCACACCCTGGTTTGAGTGATCTACAAGTTACAAGCGTTTTCAACATTTAACAGTTCATTATCATGTGCGGTGTTATATAACAAATTATACACTGAACTATGATAATCTATACTAGTATCTATAATACTAGACAACAATTTGCAATGTTTTTACACTTATGCAATTAATTTCGGTCATTATTACACAGTCATGACTTGTGCCATTTTGCCATAGTACGGTTGTTGCTCCCTTTCATACCACAGTAATTTTGTATACAACTCTGAATGAACAAAATGCATGCTCCTTCTCATTATCAAACCTGATCAGATTTTACCCCCGAGGAGTACTCACAAAGGTTTATTACTGTTTATATTGTGCTGTTGGGTGAAGAACAGTTTTTGTTGTTCAAAACTTTGGGTGTAATCGCTGACAGGAAGCAACGAAATGGCGCCATGTAGACTAGACAAAAAGTCCATGCACAGAATGAAGTAACAACAGCCAGAAGAAAAGTTTCAACTCTCTTGAGGAAGCACCAAATTAAATATGTACATATGTATTAATATTTACATATGGATTAAGGCAGTAGATATGTACATATTTATGTATGTATGTACGTATACGCAACAAACAGCTAACTGTAAAGCTGTTTGCCTCGCTCTTTTGCCTCTAGCCGCTTTTGCTTAGTTTTTCCTTCTTTTTTAAAACTTCAATTTTATTTTAGTACATTCAACAATTGGAAATGAATGAAAAAAATACACACAGCCTAGCGCCAACGCCTTTTTCAATACAGCACAGCAAAGCACGCTGCAGCACCAACAACACCCAATTCAAATATTTATCAGCTGACAGCGCGCGAAATTGGGTCAAGCAGTTCCGGGCAGACTTCTGTGCCAGGGCATAAAAAGAAGTGGTAGGCAGACAACACAAAAGTATGAAAAGTTCTTTAAACGCACTGAAAGGTGAATGAGTTTCGTAGAGACTTGTATAACGCCGAATCACCGGGAACGCCTTAAACGCTACGAACGAATAATGAAATACAAACTGGTTTAGCTAACGTTTTCTGAGCGGGTCATCAATTTCGCTTTTACGTACTTATGCAGCTGCCAAAAACATTTTTTTGCACAGGAATATTAAGTTTGTATTAATCATATTCCAGTTGGTCATTACACAAATATACGAGCATATGCACTTTGTATATAAACGTGAGCTAAGGAGAAAACACCAGGCAAATTTTGTAGCACTTGTGAACCATTTAAACATCTACTTTAAGATTTTTATAATTATTTACGGGTGATATGATACACGTTAGTTTTCCAAATCATTCAACACCTCCTCGCCCCATCCAAGTTTTTTCGCGACTATGCAGCACAATTATTACTTCTTTGTAGATTTTATGTTATTTCAATGTTGCCCAGCGTTGGCTCTAACATGTTTAATTGATGCTTTGCTTTTATCATTGCCATCCAAAGCAATGTTGTGCAGATCTTAATGTTTGCTGTTTTTTTTGTTGGCTAGAGTGGTGGTGACCAAATTTAGCCGGTATTTTTAAAAAGCATATACGAAGGCTACGGCTTTCAGTTTTCACCTGTAATTTTTTTTTTACTTTTTTAAATGGTTTTCTTTCCTGTTTTTCAGGCTGTGAATAAAAGAAGAGCCATCTATTTAACGGGGATTGAAACGCACCGGGACGCACTCGCACATCGACTGTACGTTAGGCTGCTTCGGCAGGCTCCCAAAACCAGAAACCAATGCACGATATTCATTAATGTTGAGAATGTTGCACTCGCTCTCTGTTCTAGCAAAACGACGAATAGTGAAAGAGAAAATGCCAGGAAAGTGTGCCGAACTGTCAAAACGATAAGTGACAAGCAAGCGGCATTGCAAGTGAAGTCTCCAGCGGGTAGTCAGCTTTCATTTATGGTTAAGAATCCAAGCCGGATAGTAAAAGTTTTATTTACACTAACTGTAACGTATGCAAGACTTTTGATTTATTTTCACGAAGAAAAGCTTGTATTTATAAAATGAACTTGTTGCACGTGTGCTTAAATACTATGCATTCGATATTCTTGCCCCAAACAAATTAACCAAACTCCTGAGCTCTTATTTTTTCCAGGAAGTACAATTGCAGGGAACTTGTTCCAGCGCATGCGCCCAAAAAGGCACACTCTCGGAGAAGGGAATAAAGGCTTCGCAAAAGTAAACACACAAACTGTCAAAAAATATTTAGCGCCATAGAACAATTGTTTCATTTCCTTTTAGAGGAAGCGCAGCATTTGTATAAAAGTACCGGCTCACCGCATGACGTAGCAGGTGTGAACGGAGAATGCGTATAAATATTGGCATAATTTCAATTTAGGATTTTAATGTCAAGCTAAGCACAGAGTGTGGTGGCAAAAAGAAGTGGGTTGACGGAAGTGGTGGTTGCTCCAATAGCCCACAATGGCCGTTGGAATTGGTGAACGTAAAACGCACGTGTCACCGTTAAGCTGTCATAAAGATTTCTACATGTAATTGGTTTTATGCTTGTGGTACATTCACATGGTATAAAAAAAAATACACAAACACGTACATATTTATGTATGTATATATGTATGTATGCATGTTTACATATTATGCGCGATTCAAAATTAGAACTTTTACAAAAACATTAAGTATATTTATTTACATATGCACGTATGTACATATATGTACAATACAGACAATTCGCACCACAAGCTTAGCTAATTTATCGCAGCACACATTTTTTTTCATTAATAAAAATTGTATACGAACTTAAATAAAATCTTCTGTTAGGCTAGTCGCAGCGCAATCGCGAACCACACCTAAGTCCAGTGAATACTAAACGCGTACTGGCCACACCAACTTCGAAACGGATGAATGGCTAAAACATAAAAAAGAAATTTAATGAAAACGTCCCAGAGTGGGGATATGCGTGCCTTATAAAAATATGTACATATGTATCTAAGGCACACACGTACATATGTTTACACATATGTACATAAATACATACAAACATTTATCCAATTTTTTAATATTTGTATACCTACATACATACATATAAATTAGTTTTAACTTGACGCATGGCATTAAAAACAAAAACAGCCAAAGGAATGAAAGCAACAAATACAGCGAGTGGTAATTCAACGTCAAGGAACGTCAACAATGCTGTATCGGAAGGGCGCTCAGGAGGCCAATAAACTATTCAACGGACATCTATTTGCACACACATATGTACATATGTACGTATTAGAGTCCAGCGCAATTGTATTTGCCGCATTTCATTCAATAAGTACTCCTTGCATTGTACTCTACTCCCAACACATTGTTACTTTTTTTCCGCATACATACACTACTTGGCGTTGAGAGAGTAAATACTTGACGTACTTGCTATTACTCCACCAAAGTACGTACTCTACTTTCCCTCATCGCGTACGAGAGATATTTGCTGCTGCCAAAAGGGA